CAGAGATATCATGAGTGCATATTGCTGAAGAGTTTCTTGCTAAAATAAGACAATATCCCATTTCTCTATGATTTTCATTATCTACCTAGACGAAAGTCAGTCTGTGATTTAAACATATAACTAAATGTTTTCCCTGAAACTTTACAAAACAACGTTTTCTTTAAATGTTTGTTTTTATATTTTACCAAAAAATTGTTTTTTTAGCTGAGAGGAAACAGTTAAGAATGTGGACAGTTTCACTAATACATTAATATTTTACAAAATACTAGAGAATTTAAAATTAATATCAGAAGGGGTTTCGTGGAGATTTTAGAAATTTTATAGTTGAAATCATGAGTCATTTGAAGCTAGATCACCATAGAAAACCTGGAAGCACTGAACGAGAGTGATAGGTTCTGGGTTCGAATCTCGCAAGGTGAGATCGTGGATGCGCACTGCTGAGGAGTCCCACAATAAGACGAAACGGCCATCCAGTGCTTCCAGGTTTTCCATGGTGATCTAGCTTCAATTGACTCATGATCTCAACTATTAAAATCTAAAATTACTTGTATCGTGTTTTCAGTGTGACGTTATCCATCTTTATTTCAATGTTAAATAAAAAGGTGAAATCTAGTATTTTCAAGTAATTCACCAATAATTTGATGGATGAGTGCTGTATATAAAAGCAGAATTCCTACTAGAGAGTTAATTGCAAATAGATAAACCCTTGCATATATGTCTTTCATCGACATGTCAGTATAATGAACCTTAACCACCGATTGAAGGAATCAACTAAAGTGGAATTTAGGGCAAAAAATGAAATCGTTAATGGGAATTACTGTCATAAATTCGAATATTAACCCACTAAATGAATGGAAAAGTGCTTGAAAAATCTTAACGCCAAACATATACTGAACAATAAACAACAAAACTGAAAAATAACCTTCTCCTTAAATTTTGATATTCATTTAATCAAGAATTCATTGAGAAGCAAAGGCCGCCCAACAGCACTCTCCATACAATTTTGTCCTGGGCAATCCTTTCCAGTTGTTTCCAGTTGCTATTCATCCTTTTCATGTCTGCTTCCAATTCCCGACTTATTGTGTTCTTTGGCCTCCTTCTTTTTCGTTTCCCTTCAGGATTCCAAATTAGCGATTACCTCGTGATGCAGTTTGATGATTTCCTCAATGTGTGTCCTATTCATTTCCAACGTTTTTTCCTAATTTCCTACTCAGTTAAAAGTTAGATTGTTTATTGAAATTAGTAAACAAAATATTTAATAAACAAAGTTTTCAAAAAAATTAATTTAAATTAGGAAAAATGTCGTATATTGATAAATTACTATTTTACATCAACATGTAATCCAAAATAGCACTTTCATAATATTTAGTCTTTACAATTTGTAATGAGACATTTACATAGTTGAATTCATGAATGAACATAAGCTAAACCACCATCAAAAACCAAGATACACTACTTGACCATTTCGTCCTAATATGGGATCCCTCGACAGTGTGTATCTACGATCCTGCATGTGAAACTTGAACTCATGACTTTCAGACCCGCGCGGAAACGTTTGCCTTTTAACGTCTAGATCGACTCATTAATTCAACTATGAAAACACAACAATCTCTTACAAATCCTCATAGTAAAAATGAGAATTTTCTTTACTAGAAAAATCAATAGCTGAAATCAAACTATTATAAACATTCACTTAGTATTGTTTGTTTGAATCTTCCCATTGATGCTTAGGACTGCAACAGGTCAGTCTCTGGTCAACCATAATACACAAGAATTATAAGCAAAGATAGATAGTGGCTAGTAGTAGAATCCAGGACGCGCATTTCGTCTTATTTCGGACTCGTCAGCTGGATGTACCTGCATCTCAGAGTTGATGTTCACTCTGGGGCTCGAACCCAGTACCTTTTACTTCAAAAGCCATCACGTTATCCACTCAGCTACTGAGTCCTGATAACCACTTGCTTGTGCAATTGGATTGAAGTTTAAATTCACTTAGTATTGTTTGTTTGAATCATTACATACATTACATAATCTGTATAGGTATTCTTCAAGTGTTCTATAATTAGAATTCTGTTTTCAATTAATTCTTAGTTAGAGAATATATAAATCATTTTCAACTTGAAGTATGATTAAATATGAAGAGAATTTTTCTTAACAACCATTTTTTTGTGTATCTAACAACAACAAGTGTTCTAAAAAGGGATTCCATTAACGCATATTTTTAATGATATACTTTATTTAGTAAACAGTTGTTATATCTTTGTCAATACATAGAGCTCCTAAGTGAATATAATAAATTAATAGAAAAATAGTAACTACCGGAATTCGGTGTTAGTTACAAAGAATTCAGATTTACTATACTACTTATATAAATGGTTTATTGATCTTTATAGATTATATTCAATATATAGTGATCTCATTTGGAATACGAATGAAAACTAGGGAATATTGAATAACTATTTCATCTTAGTATAGAACTGCTCATTTGTTTAAAATCTCACCTTTTTTAAAGATCGAACCCATACATATTGGTGTGTAATAGTACAATTTCAACTTGAATCAATATACGATATAGCACCGTCGGTGAAAAAAATGTTTTGTTACCGACAAATCTGAACTCTACTAGTCGTTGAATCGAAATTTTGAAGTTACTAATGGGCACCGTTTTCAACAAACAACACATTACGAAATAATGGCTGTCCACATAATTTTGTCAGAAAATCCTAAGTAGAAGGTAAAACAAAGAAATTGTGACTCTGTCAGTAAAAAAAAACCTATATCTGAAAGTGGACTTTAAAGGGGACATAGCGAGTGATATTCTAACTCGTCAACTAAAAAGGTCTGTTGAAAGAACGCTTCACACCGCCATGCTACACATAATTTTCTCAACTGAACCAGTATTCACACAATTAATCAAGAATAGGTTACCGAAGATGAGCTCCTCCATGTGTACATACCAACTCAACTGCTTCTGTGGAATTAGTTACAATGGCCATACTCAGAGGGCTTTATCCTTGCGTGTTCGTGAACATGTACCAGAATGGTTGAGAAAAGGAGTTAGTAAATCGGTCAACAGCACTATTCTTTCTCACTTAGTAGATAGTGAACATCATATCAAAATAGAGGAAGCTTTCTCTGATTTATATCAAGTTCCAAAAATCTACCTCAACGAGCTAGATTTCGGCTATTCTACATAACCGAAGTCATCTGGATCAACTCCACGAAACCAAACTTATGTATGTCTCTTTAACTTTCATATTGATGTTTAATTTTTTTAATTAAACTGATTTCATTCATGAGTCACTTGAAGCTAGACAACCATGGAAAACCTGGAAGCACTGAACGACGGCGTCGTTCTACTATGGGACTCCTCAGCAGTGCGCATCCACGATCCCACTCGCGAGATTCGAACCCAGAACCTATCAGTCTCGTCAAGTGCTTCCAGTTTTTCCATGGTGGTCTAGCTTCAATGGACTCATGATTTCAACTATAAAATTTCTAAAATCTCCACAAAACCCCCTTCTGATTTCATTCATTTTCATATTCATTACATGATAAACAAAATAGATTTTAAGAGTGACATTCTTAATGTGAAAAAAGTTGAAGAGATTTTCTAGAAGGATCATCTAATTTGGAAGCTACTTTCTAAGCCAATAATCAGAGAGTCTGTATAAATCAAAGTATTTCATAAGAACAGGGATAAAACCTGTTAAATTTTTGTAATCTTTGAGAAATCAAGGCTTATTATCAATTTTTCGATTTCAGTATTGTAGAAAGATCTCCACAGAACTTCATTAATATCCAATCTAAACAGTTTCTTCCTGTTAAGGATGAAAACTTGAGGGAATCAGTGTAACTAGCTTCAACATGGATTACCTGAAAATCTAGTGAGAAGTCGTGACCAGTGGAGTTCAACGTTGTGAGATTTGAGGCGGTTACTTACCGAAGACAATGTAAGATGGTCGCGCAATATCGCAGATTGGTTGAAGTTAGACATTAACACTATTATATGCCAGTTCAATGGTCTAGAGGTTAAGAGTTTGTATGCGAGACCGAAGATCCTGGATTCGAGTCCCATATGCGGGATCATGGATGCACAATGCCGAGGAGTTCCATACTACGACGAAACGGTCGCCCAACGCTTCTAGGTTTCCAAAGAGTAATCTAACATTAGTCCATTCATAATCCCAATCAGAATCAGTATTTCCAATATGTTGATACGAAGAATTCACACGTAAAAATTGTTATCTGTTCTATTGTTCTTACTACAGTATCTCTCCTACTATACATGTGATTTGTTTGTATTTATTCAGAACAAAATAATCAAAACAAAAGAATATCATCTTATGAAAATAAACGAAGAATTTCCCTCATACTTTTAAACATCCTATAAACTATACAAGGGCATTTCTATTGTGCACTTTATACAATAAAACACAAACTTTATACATTTTCTTTTTGATTTCGCTTAATTCTGATTGGCACACTTTAAAATTATATCCCCATTATTATCAGAAGGGATTTTGTAGAGATTTCAGTATTTTCATAGTTGAAATCATGAGTCAAGTGAAGCTAGACCACCATGGAAAACTTGGAAGCACTAATGTCTGACTTCAAAAGATATTTCCTGGAGTTCTAATGAAAAGCAGTGACCAGTGGAGCTCAACCACGTCTGTTGTGATATAGGAACTCACTGAAGACAATTGGTGAACGGTTGCTCAACTTCGTGGATTGGTTGAAGTAGACATTGACACCATCGGATGCCGACTCAGTGGTCTACTGGTTAAGCGTTCTGGCACGAGACTGGTAGGTCCTGGGTTCGAATCTCGTGAGGCGAGATCGTGGATGCGCACTGCTAAGGATTCCCACAATAGGATGAAACGGCCGTCCAGTGTTCTCAGGTTTCCCTTGGTGGTCTAGCTTCAATTGACTTATGCTTTCAACTATGAAAATCCCCATTATCATTTCAACCAACATTTATAAAAAAAGAACAAGTCATGTTCATACAAACAATAAATTTATTAACATTTAACTTTTGATTACATTATTCATTGGATAAACTGAATTGACTTTTTCGCTTAGTTCAGAACAAATACTGATCTGCTTCAATTAGAAATGATACTACTGAATTCTCATTGTATTATCTTGCGTTAACGAGCGAAACTATAGTAATAATATCAAAAAAAGAATAAACAAAATTCATTGAATACAAATATAGGAAAATTATAAATAATAAAGTAGGGAATCTAATACAGGACGACAAGAGCCGATTTGTTAATCGATTCATTTAAATGGTGAACGCTTTGTCTTGATTCCGGTCATTTATAGATGAACTGATATAGGAAATGATTGATTTAGTCTTATAATATTCCGAAACTCATTGAAGTTTTACGTTATAGTAAACTCGCGCTGTCTTTACCTAACTTTTATGTTATCCAACACGTTTTTAGTGTTTGAGTAGTGTGTTCTTGCGGTGTGTGCTACTTATATCAACATGAGTAGTATATAAAGCTAATCAGGAATAGAATATCTGGCAGCAGAAGCTCAAGAAGAAAAAAACTGAAACAAAAATCAACTGATGATAACGAAATGCAGGAACATTGAAGTCTGAGAGGATTGACTTATATTTTGAAAAAGCAACAGTCAAGTTTAAGACAATTGATTGGTATTTTGTAAATGAAGTATTCACTGTATGGTTGTCTGATTTTGTGTTCAAATACATTAACTTGGAAATGATGTCTATGTAAAAATCTGAATAAAAACTTAGACTTATGACCTAAAACGACTGTAAACGACTTCAAAATTTGATACTTTTACAGTCATTGTCTAGAACGTAGGTATATGCAACTCAATAATAGCTAGTAATAGACAAAATAATGTACACTCCTAACTTATTCCAGTAATGGATGTGTTAACTTTTTTAAAAGAAAACTTATCTTATGCAGCCAAAATAGGGTAATTGAACATGGGAATTCGAGATATCATATCATACTCTCAAAAAAAGCTAGTCTATTTTATGGTTAAAAGGAATCAAATCTAAACAAGAATACGGTGGTTCACAACGTTTTGAAAGGTGATCTATCATTTCTTAAAACTTACAATAGCCTTATAACTTGAAACAAACATTTAAAACAACAACAAAAGAATTCTTCATTGGTAATTAAGTTAGGAGATTTATTCATTTATTTTAAAATGAATGTTTAATTTGAAAATTTGTCACATAAGTTTTAAGATAAAACTTTTAAAAAACTTTCCCTCAAATGCTCACACATGGCCACACCTATACAGCCACTACCAAGGAAGTCCAAACTCGTTGCGTTCTCTCGTCGGGGTCGTTGTTTACGAAATTGAGAAGACAAACAGTGAATGCTCGGTGCTTTAACCGGGTTGATGAATATAGAGGATCAACCTAGGAGAGTTTGAAAATCCTGATTCTAAACCAATGGTGCATATGGGCTCCATAACCCAGAGGAAACAAGTGACGTATGAACGAATTGTTGGTAACCGGCTAACATGAAACTACATCTCTTAGCATCGCCCCACTGCCTTGTAGATTAGACTTCTAGATCAAAGGCTCAGTGTATGGCCTCGGTTTGAGAACCCAGACAGTATTCCAGACCTCACACAAATTGAATCATTTGTGTGACGCATATATATTTGGTGCAACCATATACCAATGTCTGTATGTTTAAATAAATTAATCTTACGAAATATTCGACTATGTTGCTCAAATTAAACTTATGAATTTACAAAGAAACAGTTGTTGGTTGATCATTAACTCGATAAATCAACATTTTAATCATACGCCCTTTATTTATTATCATGGTTATTATTATTATACAATATTCCACTAGTTAATCGGTATTTCGTCTATGCTAAAGATAGTTTTCCAAGCCTAATTCACACTCACCCAATACTTAGAGCTAATAGGACCTTATCAAATATCTTAATATTCCTAGGTAACTTTTGAATCGTCGGTAATTACTGCTTTACTTGCTTTGTGTGTTCTTTCCGGGATTCATCTTCAAATGACCTTACACATACGTATATAAACTAGAACGATTTGTCATTACAAATATTCAGTTACCATTGTTGGTTAATTAATTCTATATCATCAATTAATATGAATTAGATCATGAGTAGCTAATGTAAACTCTCAAAATGAAAATGAATTCATTTTATTGCCTTTCAAATATTGCTGATGCTTTATTTAATTCATAAACGGAACGAACTCTAGGAAATTATTAAACATAAAACCTCTTGATGAATCACATATTCCTCTGATCTGGTTAATGACAAGATCACTTATGATGAATGTCAAGTGTGTCATATTCATGAATATGCTGAATTTTTTCTAATTCATTTCTTTCTATAATAACGTCTATTTACGTTATATCAGGAAAGATAAGCTGTATGATTCCCTTAAACCCGTCTCTATTGAAATCCACTACATACTCAGAATTCGACTAGTCAAGGTCATATATCTTCGAAATATATTCATACTTTAACTTTCAATCTTCTTGAATTGGTTAGCTTTCACTAATATGAATAACGTTATCAATACCTACTTCCATCCAGAATTGAGATTTCTCAATATTCTACAGTTCACAAATTAATTCATTCTAATGACCTTATTTTCAAACGATTGTCCTCGTTTGTTCTAATTGTTTTCATTTGTCAGCTATAAGAACAAACTAAATCAACGAATGTGAAGTAATTGAAAATCACAATTCCGATTGAAATAGATTCTGATCATGTTATGTGAGCGTATGTGTGTGTACACTTCTTTTCCTATTCACTACATGCCTGTAATTTATTTTTATCTGACTATAAATATCGATTAACGCTTGGTTGAAGTGAGTTGGCTTATCCTCCATCTCCAATGCGTGTCACTTTTCCTTCGCTCTCTCCTATTCACTTCATCTTTCTGATTTCCTGTCCATGTCAATCAGAGTACAAAATATATGTATTCAAAATCCATTCTCGTATTTGACTTATTTAACTTCGTTATTCATCAACACTGATTAAATCCTGTGTTGCATACGAGGATAGACAGGAAGTATATTTTGACAACAATCATTCATACGATCTAAATGGAGTCAGATCCTAGCCCCACAAAAATAGTGAGCCGTATTTGAAACACGTACCAGCTCTCAACTAAAACATAGTAGAAGCTTAGTCGTCAAAACGTTTAGCTCAACTTTAAAAACAACCAACTTTTCTGTAAATCTGGTCCATCATTTCAAACACTTTAGCTTGGTGTTAATATCTGTAATCTTGTAATATTATGACTCGTAGTTGTTTCTACAGTGGGAAATAATTTCTAAGACAGAAAACCTATCAGTGTTCTAAACAAGTATTGACTAACAATGAAAAGAATTTTATGAAGCATAATAAATAACAATTTTTACAGTACACCTTTTATTTCATATATAGAACGTACGTAAAATTAACTGATCAATTGTTCTATTAAATGTCTTGACTTACGGCCTCCATTACCACCACCACCGCTTCTGTACCTTCTATTATCTCTGTTATCTTCTGAATTAAGTGAAATACGAAATTGATACAGTTTTTATTGAATGTACGTTAGAGATTAAACACTGTTGATACATCTAGTATTCTCTGTGCACTGTTTTCTTAGAATACAGAGGAATATAAAGCACAATCATATATATTTGAAGTAATTGTTACCGAACATTCGTTACAGTGAGTATGCATTTATTTTAGATCATTTTAACTGATTTATGGATTATCCGAAATGCTCAGTAGTATTGTGATATTGTAAAGGAACATTGGAAAATCATGCTGAAAGTATGAAAGGCTAAGGACAGAAAGGAACTTAGCTGTCGATTCAAGGTCACTACTGATGGTCGGACGTGTCGTTAGCCAAGTCACAGATAGTAAGCTGTAGAGTAAATAATAGATCTGAGTACAGTCAGTATACTGTTTGGTGACTTGGTACATGATATTGGTCAGAGAGTTTCAAAACATAAAAATTGGTTATAGACATTTCTAACGTCATTATTTTATAAGACATTATCACTAGAACAATGACTAAATTCGTAAACTGAGCCTTATATTCAAAACTTGAATATACATATCAATCAGCAAATAAACTTACTCTTGTTCAAACCAAAAAACAAACTGAGAACTAAAGTCAATAAAAGTTTCATGTTTACTAAATTGCGATAGATCAAAACAATCAATTATATTTGAATTTCCTACAAACGAAGATTTCTACTAAATTCACGACATTGAAGATTACATCACGAACTAGGGTTAACAGTTTTCTTTGATGTGATTTCAACTCCCGACTGTATTGATGTACTGAACGAAGAACTGGGAGGAATAACAAATACACTATTTAACGCGAAATTACAAAGTGCTTTAATAAAATGTCAAAATCATGCATTAAATACATCATTTGCATATCTTCTATCAGGTCTCCTTTACACGCTTCATGATTCTTTCAACTCCGTTTTTATTGCAATAACTTTCTGTTTCCCGTTCTGTTTTCTTTAAATGAACCTTCCTAATCCTCTTCAGATATGCATTCCACTTCTGACTGGTACTTTATACTACTTGTGTCTGTCAACAGAAGTAGTAAACGCCACATCAGTTGTTCTGACTCATGTATTTGTTAACAGACTCAAATATCTAAATGATCTCAGCAACACTTTCTTGCTGATTTGAAGGCTATAAAACATATTGTGTACTTAACCTAACTTTTTAAATAACTTGATAGATCGACTTACTATCTCAATTTAGATGTAAACAAAGCCCATCGGACTCTAATTCATTAACTACATGACTACAGTATTTAAACCAATCGTAGAAAACCAGTCTACAAATACATTTTGCAGACTAATAAAAACATGGCTGATTAAAATAAATAAAGCACTTTATGTGTACATAAATAACACCTAGTAATTGTTACATCACACTACTGACTTCTTAAAGCTTTATTGTCAACCTTTACTTGACTCGTTTCATTAGTTATCAATAAGGAAGAATGTAAAAATCAACAGCATTTTACTTAATGATCATCATTTCTAATAAGAATGAAGAATGAAATCCAGATCATTCACAGATATAGACTTCAGTACTCACAGTCATAAAAATCAAATCCACCACTCCGGTGACCACCTATTTTTTCAAATAAATTAGGTAAAATATGAATATGTTAAAACTTGTAATTTTTGTCGAAGACTAAAGAATATTACTATTCAAAGTGTCGTCTATTCGGTTACTTATAGTAAAGGGAAATAGTTCATTATAATAGGTTTCACATCTTATAATCTAGCGTTTCACCTAATCGACACTATTGTAATTTCTCCTTCTGTGTAAGTCTATCACAATTAAAATCAGTAGTTTTTTTTTCATAGCTTCATTGCAAAATTCATTGTCACCCTTGTTACATTCAAACAAAGTGGTTTGAAATGAAATTAAAGATCTTATTTTAAGCATTTATTTCATTTATGTAAGCAACATAGATTGATATGTATAACAAGAGTATAAAACTTTAATACTTTCATGAACCATGGTAAAGTTAGAATGCTTAAGCAGTTGTTATTGCTGTAAGATAACTAAAATATGCATAGATGACGTGTGTTTTTTTCGAATACAATTCAACATTCCGTCAAGATTTACTTCTAGTAAGAATAGATCCTTATCAAAGACACAAATAGTCATGTAGTCATGTTTGAAACATTACGGATATTATCCAGTTCTTTGTTCAGTGAGTAAAGCAATCAACTTTAATTATGTGTCACATATGTAACAGTAATGATGTAATCCGCTTCTATTGAAAAAAATTTGTTCTGAGAATGTATTGCGTTTAAGTTTCACTAGATTTCCTGAATGTTGAATCGAATTTACGAAATAATGATGACAAAACTTCTTTATCTAATGATTAAATAATTATTTTCTTTTGAATACCGAACTTACGTCCATTCCAACTAAAGAGTTTAGTGAAAACTGCAGCAAACAAAAGTTTGTTAGATACTTCTACATTCGATCATTTAGTGGCTGAAGTCATATTTGTGTAGTCCTGATAGAAACCCGTTGACTAAGTTACAACGTGGTCACTAGTCTAAAAGACTTCGAATCACCTCCGAAGTAGCTCATTGTTAACGTCTTACCTAGACTGTTAAGATGTGTAACGTACAGTCAAATCCACCGGTGAACACCAGCTCCCTCAAAATTACAGATATACATTTATAACAAGTACCAAATATGGCAAAATTTGGTCTATGGTTTCCTATAAACAACCTCACATCTCACCATAGTGTACGTGATGTCAAATTACCACAGTTAGCTTATTAGTGACTTATTTCAATGTTTCTGAAGTTCTGCCGATAATTTGTAATTGATGGAGACATGTTAGGAGTGGAAAAGTTGTTATCTATGGTCATGTATGGTTGTCTTAGTATACCTCTGATTGATTGAAGTTAAATTTGTAATACAAGATGTTGACCCAGTGATGCTAATGCTTAAGCGTTGAATCAATGCTGGTAGGTGTAGACTACCTGGTTGAGATTCGTGAGATGATAGCAATCGATGGTTAGAGACCTTGAATGACATGGCTCAAAATCGTTTGCAACGGCAAAGGTGCATCCAATCTTTGTGTTCTGCCAAATTCTAATCTTCTGAATTCTTCATGTTTCTATCATTTTTCTCTTTCTAAATTTATTTCATTGGATTATACTCCTTCAATAACATCTTCAAACCCTAATCTTTCACATAATGCTTATACGCTTACTACCTCTACCACTATGGGGTTTGAATCGACAACTGCATCTCTGTGCTAATGTGGTATGGCAACTCGAACTGATGTACGTACGTACGAAGTTCTACGTTGCGACTGACTCACTGACTGAATGGAATTTACAAAATGATAATGACAAAACTTCTTTATCTAATGATCAAATATTTTTTCCCTTTGAATACTAAACTTACCTCCATTCCAATCAAAGAGACTAGTGAGAACTGCAATAAACAAAAGTTTGTTTTATAATTCTACATTCTATTTGATTTCAATAAAGAAACTAAACTTGGATCTGTGGACAGTGTTAAAAAGCAAAACTAAAATGACTGACAGTCTTGTTCTAATTTCCATAAACTTATAATGGCATTAATTGTGTCTATAATTTCGATTCTCTTAAACATACTTTAATAAACATCTGTTGATTGCATATCAAATTTTGTATATACTATGTAATCAACTACTTACTTTCGTTTTGTAGTTTGCATCAATGACTGACCTTAGTTGGGGATCATTTAAAGTCAGGAAGAACAGATATTCTGTCCAACTATGAGACTCTTCAGTAGCACACAAATACAGTTGGGACTGAGCACAATGTCTTTAAGTCTCGTAGTAAACGCCTAAACTTCAAATCACTGAACTGGTATCTGATATTTTACATATCGAAGTTCAGTTTATTCGGGATATTACTCAATTATTTTACATTGCTATTTATAATTGACTGCTTCATGCTTGACATAGTAGAACTCCGCTGTTCACGCTTTCTCAACAGAACTCCGGAAGTTGATGCTTGGAATCAGTCACTAATGATCATATGATTATAATTAATACATGGAGTTTGTAAGGAACGTTGGATTTCATAGTTTGTAGCATAGACTGACCATAATGGGATTGCGGATACAAGTACAGGATATTTATCCAGTGCTTCCTGGTTTTCAATGGTTGTCCAACTAAGGTCAGTCCTTGATGTAAACTCAAACACCTAACAATCTCCACAAACCCACATACACTCCATTGCTTAATTAGAAATAAATGAATACTACAAACACATACAAGATACACTCTATTATATATGTAACGAATAGTTCACCACAATAAATAAACTTTTTACATATACGTTGATGATAATCCGTATTTACCACATTAATTTACTTTTCATCACTGAGACATATACAACCACTAACTTGTAGCTAGAAGAGATAGTATTCTTTATAGGTCATTGCTGTTATGATAACTGAGTCGTTTGAAGCATGAAATTCGTTGATTTCTATGAATAACGGTCATTCAAGTAGGAATTCTAAAGACTCGTTTATATGAATCAAATGTGTCTTCTAATCCAATAGTGTAGAATACATATTAAAAGACTATCAAGTTTAGCATTATTTCAACTCTTCTAATTATGTAAATTTTGAAGTAAGGAAGCATATCAAGAAAATCTAACAAAGAACTACATTTTAGGAACTTGATATTTCAAAGTAGCTATGTTTCTTGTTGAACAAAACATATTAACCCTGAAAACTTGTAAATGAGTATTCGATATTCTTTATGCATGGTAGAAAGGTTATCAACTTAAAAGATGTACAAACATTTCTGAAGTTTCTAAGCACAGATGGATGGTGGCTAGCTGTAGAATCTAAGACACGTGTCTCGCCCTTTTCGGGACCCGTCAGCTAGAAGTACCTGCATCCTGAAGTTGGTGCTCACTCTGGGATTCGAACCCAGTACCGCTCGCTTCAAACGCCATCGCGTTATCCACTTAGCAACTGAGTCCAGATAGTCACTAGCTTGTGGTAATATCGAAGCAATCCGCACAAGATGAACATATGCCAATAGGAGACTGATCAATTTTAGTCTTGAACATCAAAGGGGAGATTCAAACAACCAATGCAAAAATGAATTATTTCTAAAGTTTTACTCCATTCTATAAATTAAGCAAAAATATTGACTACGTCATTTAATGTAATTTATTTCTAATATATCTTAGATATTTCATTGCATCATCACACAGATACAATTGTTTACCGGTCATATGTCACCAATATGATTATAACGATAGAAATCATCCACGCGATTTTATTTATATGTAGAGTGGCAGACATAAAAATGATCAAAAGAAACCGGAACTTTGAAAATTGCTTACAATCAGAGACTGGGGAATTTATAAAGAAAAAAAAAGTAAGTTGTTTTTTTTAAAAAAAAATGCTCAGACACTTAATCGTGATGAAAAGCCAACTATCATCAACATGAAATTACCTTCAAAAAAAGATTTTTCGCAAAAAATCAGAAAAATTATATTGCTATGGAAATGTTGGCGAAATTTTAATAATCCAGAAGAAAAACAAATGGCGTATGAACCAATAGTGGGTAACCGGCTAACATGGAATTACATCTCCTAACGTTGCTCCACTGACTTGTGGATTAGATTTCTAAGTCAAAGACTCAGGGTATGGCCTCGGTTTGAGAACCCAGACAGTATTCCAGACCTCACACAAATTGAATCATTTGTGTGACACATATATATATGGTGCAACCATATACCAATGTCTGTATGTTTAAATAAATTAATCTTACGAAATATTCGACTATGTTGCTCAAATTAAACTTATGAATTTACAAAGAAACAGTTGTTGGTTGATCATTAACTCGGTAAATCAACATTTTAATCATACGCCCTTTATTTATTATCATGGTTATTATTATTATACAATATTCCACTAGTTAATCGGTATTTCGTCTATGCTAAAGATAGTTTTCCAAGCCTAATTCACACTCACCCAATACTTAGAGCTAATAGGACCTTATCAAATATCTTAATATTCCTAGGTAACTTTTGAATCGTCGGTAATTACTGCTTTACTTGCTTTGTGTGTTCTTTCCGGGATTCATCTTCAAATGACCTTACACATACGTATATAAACTAGAACGATTTGTCATTACAAATATTCAGTTACCATTGTTGGTTAATTAATTCTATGTCATCAATTAATATGAATTAGATCATGAGTAGCTAATGTAAACTCTCAAAATGAATTCATTTTATTGCCTTTCAAATATTGCTGATGCTTTATTTAATTCATAAACGGAACGAACTCTAGGAAATTATTAAACATAAAACCTCTTGATGAATCACATATTCCTCTGATCTGGTTAATGACAAGATCACTTATGATGAATGTCAAGTGTGTCATATTCATGAATATGCTGAATTTTTTCTAATTCATTTCTTTCTATAATAACGTCTATTTACGTTATATCAGGAAAGATAAGCTGTATGATTCCCTTAAACCCGTCTCTATTGAAATCCACTACATACTCAGAATTCGACTAGTCAAGGTCATATATCTTCGAAATATATTCATACTTTAACTTTCAATCTTCTTGAATTGGTTAGCTTTCACTAATATGAATAACGTTATCAATACCTACTTCCATCCAGAATTGAGATTTCTCAATATTCTACAGTTCACAAATTAATTCATTCTAATGACCTTATTTTCAAACGATTGTCCTCGTTTGTTCTAATTGTTTTCATTTGTCAGCTATAAGAACAAACTAAATCAACAAATGTGAAGTAATTGAAGATCACAATTCTCATTGAAATAGATTCTGATCATCTTTTCAGTAGTAGGAGCTTAGTTGTTAAAAACTTGAGCTTAACTTCGAAAACAACCAAGTTATCTGGAAATTTCGTCCATCATTAGCTTGGTGTTAATATCTGTAATCTTGTAATATTATGACTCGTAGTTGTTTTCACAGCGGGAGATAATCTCTAAGACAGAAAAACTATCGGTATTCTAAGCAACTATTAAGTAACAATGAAAAGAATTTTATGAAGCATAATAAATAACAATTTTTACAGTACACCTTTTATTTCATATATAGAATGTAAGGAAAATTAACTGATCAATAGTTCTATTAAATGTCTTAACTTACGGCCTCTACTGTCATCACCACGGTTTCTGTTTCTACGATTATTTTTATCTTACAAATTAAGTGAAATACGAAATTGATATAGTTTATTGTTATATACGTTAGAGATAGAACATTGTTTATACATTTAGTATTCTCTGTGCACTGTTTTCTTAGAATATAAAGGAATATCAAGGACAATCATATATATTTAAAGTACTTGATACCGAACATTTGTTTTCGATCATTTAAACTACTTTATCGATTATCTGAAATGCTCAGTAGCATTGTGACATTGTAAGGAACATTGGAAAATCATACTGAAAGTATGAAAGGCTGAGTATAGAAAAGGACTTAGCTATCGACTCAAGTTCACTACTGATGGTCGGACGTGTTATTAGCCAAGTCACAGTCAGTAAGCTGTAGAGTAAATAATGTACGCGAAATAAACCTGAATATAACCAGTATTCTGTTTGGTGACTTGGCATATGATATTGGCCAGTGGGTTTCAAGACATAAAAACTGGTTATAAACTTTTCCAACATTATTTTACGAGACAGTATCACTAGCAGATAGATTAATTTCATAAACTGAGCTTTATATTCAAAACTTGAATATATATCAATCAGCAAATAAACTTACTCCCGTTCAAGCGAAAAAACAAATTGAGAACTAAAGTCAATAAAAGTTTCTTTTATGCTTACCGAATTGAGATGGATCAAAACAATCAATTATGTTTGAATTTACTACAAGCGAAGGTTTCTATTGAATACACGGCATTGAAGATTACATCACCAACTAGGGTTGACAGCTTTCCTTGATCTGATTACAGAATGTTTACATGAAATGTCAAAATCATACATTACATACATCACTTGCATATCTTTCATCAGTTCTCCTTTACATGTTTCATGATTCTTTCAATTCTGTTGTGACTACAATTACTTTCTGTTTCCCGTTCTGTTTTCTTCAATTGAATCTTATTTTAATCCTCGTCAGGTATGTATTCCACTTCCGATTGATACTCTATACTACTTATATCTGTCAACATAAGTAGCATACACAACTATACTAACAACCATAATTATATACTTGAAGAAAATGTCATTTATCCGTTTGTAAACACTTGAGATCTACATTATATCTAAATCGATAATAGAATCTTCATTTCTATAACCTTCATAACTAACAAATTCTAAAATGAGACTGATTCCAAATGTCGAGTTTTCGTTCAGTCATGAATAGAAATAAGAGAAATCATATTAATGCTTAGATAAAACAAGATCTTAATGTATTCAACATTTATGTAATTTTTATAACTATTCTACGATGTTGCATAGTGCAATACAGATACTGAATGCTAAGTTGTTATAATGTTTATAAAAGTTTATCATTGGAAAGTACAAAGAACCAATGGTAAAATTGGTAAAAATCCGTCTCCATAACAAAGAAATATAAAAGAACTGTAGTAGAATTCCCAAGGGTATCGAAGGTCAATATTCACATATTTTCTTTGATGGAAAACATTTTGAGATATTTATTTCTTATTTGATAGTAATCTATGAAATTCTTTAAAATGCATTTCATTGAATACTCATTTTCATTGTAAAAACAATAAAACCAAGAAAGGACAATTTACTTTTGAAAAGATGTTAGATATACTAAGTTACGTGAATGTATCGAGGATTGGCAAAGCAAAGGTAGCATTTCTACAATTGAAGAACATATGGAACTCAAAACAACTGTCAACTAATTTCAGAGTCAGAATCTTCAATACGAACGTCAAGACAGTTCTATTGTACTGAGCTGAAACGTGATGAACTACTACATCCATCGTCAAGATGGTACAAGTATTTATAAACAGTTGTTTACACAAAATACTCAGCATTCACTGGCTGGATACTATCAGCAACAGGGTTTTTAGGGAGAGAACAAACCAGTTTCCAGCTGAAGAGGAAATTAGGAAAAGACGTTGGAAGTGGATCGGACATACTTCACGGAAATTACCAAACTGCATCACGAGGCAAACCCTAACTTGGAATCCAGAAGGAAAGCGGAAAGGAGGAAGGCCAAAGAACACATTACGCCGGGAAACAGGAGAAGTTATGAAAAGGATGAATGTTAACTGGAAAGAACTGGAAAGGTATGCTCAGGACAAAGTTGGATGGAGAATTCTGGTGTGCGGCATATGCTTCTCCACGAGGGGTAACAGGCGTAACTAAGTAAGTACGTGAATGTATGCTAGTTTCTTCGATATTCGTAAATGTGTGTGTGTGTTTTGAATGAATTTTCGCGCATACCGAATTTATTTTGTCGTTCACTCAAACCCAAAAAGTTACCATTTCATGTTTACCTTAATAAATAAGTATAATTATTTCGTGAGAATCATGGCTCACATATAATACAAAAAACAAATATTTATGAAGCACTTACTGTCAATTATATCACAGTTAGCTATCATAAAGTGAAGAATTTTGTGAAAATTCTCATTCTAACATTTGGTAAATAAAGATATCGATCATAAACTAACATTGAGTAATTGGAAGAAAGAGTATTAATAATAATCAAAGTAATTATTCAAAAATCAAGGAGTTGCTACGTTGCATAATACATAAAAAGCGAAGAAAGAACTGCTTCTCACTAGAACTCCTGGATTTACCTCTCGAAGTCAGTCACTAATGAGCATATGAAATGATGCGCACTGCTGAGGAGTCCCACAATAGGACAAAAAGGTCGTCCAGTTTTTTCGTGGTTTTCCGTGGTGGTTTAGCTTCAATTAACTCACGCTTTCAACTATGAAAATACTAAATCTCCACAAAACTAACAAAATATTTTGATGAATGATCAGTAGTATGTAGTAGTTATGTAAGAATCAAGAGACCAATGTTGAAAATAAGTAAAATACAAAAAAGGAAAGAAATACAAAAATAGTTTATCAAAGTTCTGCTACAAACTTCCCTATATTGATGGCCAAGGTAGTGAGAGTGGTTGTACAAACTTTTGTGCTGAGAAAAAAATTCCTAATGGGTTAATCCAGTAATTTATAATGATAGTTTCAAATCAGTTGAGTATTAGATAAAGAGTTAATAATAAATATATATTTTTGTTGTTACATATCAATGAGTAGAAAAATTGTATACCTGACGTTTCGTGACTTCATGTAAGCCACTTCTTCAGAGTAAATGAATAACAGATAATTGAATTAATACTATGGTGGCTGACACTGAGTTATGAAATGTCAAGAAATTCATAAAACTTAAATTTTCTACTCATTGGGATATTACAAATAGATTATCTTTTATTAATTATCTATTCAATACTCAATTCATTTGAAATCATCAAATCAATCCTTAGTAATGACACCTTCAAACTCGGGAATTGTTTTTGTTTGTGATATGATGACTGTGAAAAAAGCAAACGCACAACACTATCGAACCAACTCAAAGTGTACAACTTCATGTGGAATGATCTAAGTTTTTTTCAATATATTTTTCCTATGTTAAGTTGTTGATTCTCTTATAAAAGAGGAGATGTCTAAAGGTTATATTACAGTCAAAGATTGGCTTATAATGGAATTATCATTAATTATCAGAAGGGGTTTTGTGGAGATTTGGTATTTTCGAATCTCGCGAGTGCGGGATCGTGGATGCGCATTGCTGAAGAGTCCCACAATAGGACGAAACGGCTATCCAGTGCTTCCAGGTTTTCCATGTTGGTCTAGATTCAATTGACTCACGCTTTCAACTAGGAATTATTTTTGTTTCTTGTTTAGAATTTGTCTTCATTCAACCCAAATAAAAAATCGAATACAAAAATGAGTAATGATAACATCATTGAAATCATATCGACACTTTGATATTAGTGTTTTCTGATAAAGCAAATAGGTTTTGTTGCTATACAATTTTTTTCCGAATTAATGAATTCGATATGTTGTTTACAATTAAACATTTGTTGAATAAATTCACTTAGTATTACTTGTTCGAATCTTCCCATTGATGTTTAGGACTGCAACTGGTCAGTCTCTTATTGGCATATGTGCATACTGTGCGTATTGCCTCGATATAGCCTTAATTCACAAGCATTGTAAGCAAAGATGGATAGTGGCTAGCAGTGGACAGACTGGCCCGTTGCAGTCCTAAATATCAATGGGAAGATTCAAACAAGTAATACTAAGTGAATTTAAACTTCACCCCATCGCACAAGCAAGTGGCTATCAGGACTCAGTAGCTGAGTGAATAACGCGATGGCGTTTGAAGCGGAAGGTACTGGGTTCGAGTCCCAGAGTGAACATCAACTCTGAGATGCAGGTACATCCAGCTGACGAGTCCCAAATAGGACGAAACACACGTCCTGGATTCCACTGCTAGCCACTATCCATCTTTGCTTACAATTCGTTGAATAATTGTTTTGTACTGGATAAAATGTGCGATATTTTTTAACTGACTTCATAATACTTTATCAAAAAATAGTTTGAAAAGTCTTGGTGTTACATGGGACACATGAAACTACCTGTTCTTAATAATTTCAACAGTGTATGAATGTCATATCACCTTTACTTCTTTATATAAATTAGTTTCATTAATATCAAGTTAATTACATAATACGATGATCGTATATTATAATGTTATTTATTTTAATCTAAATGATTATGGAATGCGTATGGTTGTTTGGATTATAAAGGAGATAAAGTTCCAAACTATAACTCTGAAATTATTTAAAGTACATTTACTTCCCTATTGTGTGTACAAAAACTAATTATTCACATTTTCGATCGGTTTTGGTAACTATGGTATGAACTACTTATGTCTACATAAGTAGTATATGATGGTCAGACATAGAATGTATTTCAGCCGAAGATCGATAAGGAAAGAACAGGAATGAAGCGCAATCGGTATGAAAATACATGAACAATGAAATCAGAGAAGATGGATTGATATTCACAGAAGGAACAGTGAAGATTGAAACAATTAGTTGTTATTTTGCAAATTAACTGTTTGCTGTATGGCTATCAGAATTTAGTGAGATAGTCTGTTATGTCGTGATTAAATACATTCGATTGTCCCCAACTAGTATTCTGTTCACTATAGTAACTATTAATCCATTTTAATACTAAGGATTGTGTGGTAACTTCTTATTGTTTTATATTAAACCAACTCTCTATTTCGTATATTTTATATCCCTACTTATTTAACCTTTAATTTGAATAATGTTCCTTAATGTTCATATAAAGCTTATTCACTTATAATATGAATGGGAAATTAATAGACTTTAATTACATTGGTTATCTTCACTAATTTTCTGTCGTCAAACTGACCTTGAAAGTTCCACTTGTTTGTAAAAACTTATATGCTACATCTTCAATGTAAGAGCGAAATATCATTTGAATACCCCAAAAGATAAGATCCAATAAGTTAGAAAAGACTCAGCATATGACGTTGAATCAGAAGCGTAATATTATAAAGTACCCATATATCTAATACTATTTACACGAATCATAATGATAAAACTATGATCAAACTTAAAAATCCTAAAATTATTTCTTACCTTTTCCTAAGAGGAAGATCATAAACGAAGTTATGATTAGTACCCTACAGTAGAACATTTCGTATTAGCGACTATGTTGATGACAACAGAATTGATTCACTCATATAAGACAGAAAAACACCAATGAAATTCTGCATGAGTTCTACCAATTATAGCTTAGTTCGTGTATCTTTCGCTCCAGTATATCATTATAAATAAGAAGTCTATGACTGGCTTACAAAAGTTTACCAATTAGCTTAATCTATCACAAACTGACCACATTATTATTGACTAACTAATTAAACTCATTTAGCAAACATACACAATAATAAATTCCACGTTTTGGTCAATCGTTGAACAATTTAACGATAAGGCATGTTACCTGCAAAACATGATTGTTAAAGTACCGTATGGCCTCAATAATCTATGAGAACACCTTATATTTGTGCGACTGAAGATGCAGATAAATTTTCATGAAATTTCTATTAAATGTTTGGAGGAGCAAGCAGAATGGACGTAGCAGATGAATTAATTCATTCTGTGGATTCTCTTCAGCTGTTTATAACCTACAAATAGCAGTATTAATCATTTATAAAAGGAAACGGTGTACAAACCTAATGTCAGGAAACTACGCATCAGTGAAGATTAATAAAAACAGTAACAAGCATGGAAGAAATATAAGAGATACATAATATCAAAGCACTTTCAACCGGATCCTCATATACCAACCAAGGCTAATGAGATTTCAGTCAAAAAATGAACAACCGGATAATTTAAATCATCTTAAATGGAATTAAATTATAAGATGTTAAGCAGTGTTAATATTCTAGATTTCAAAAGCCGATGGAGGTAAGTTACTGGAAAAATTAATGGTGAAAGCTACATAATGCCAACTATAGAAAAAGAATTGGTTTTAAGATTAAAATGAGATCTCAGATAAAAGAAGGGACCAAGAAAATGAACTTGTGATCTCAAATGCAAAATGAGATGTCACGCAACTAATTGCCAGTGAGTTCACAAGAACAGTACAATACCAAAGTCAGTATACTTTTGAGTATATAAATTAGGTTTAGATGTTTTGGTAGCAACGGTTTCAGTAAAACGTAATGTTTGATATCGTCTGTTTACTGATAGTTTCGAATGATTTTTAAAAAATCAATATCCACTACTAAGCAGATCACAGGAAACCGTACTGTTGAAATAAAATCAATAAACCCTTTATCATGTTACTTTCGTCCTTCTTGTTCTATTTAAATTTATCTATGCGAATTGTGCGATATTTTGTTGTTTATAGATACGATAAAGTTGACTGTATAAAGCGTTTTCGTTCATCACTTCAAGACTATTAACGCAACTATATTTCTCATCAGGATTAAATGAAAATTGTGATCAGTTGAGACTGATTATTCAATCTTAAAAAAACGGTTCTTGAGAAGCATTTTGGCATCATAACAGATACTAGTTTTTGATGGAAACCCTACACCTAACTCAAGATCCTAGTTCCTAAAACTAATTTGTGGCCCTACTTTGACCCTGGTGAGTGGTTGAAGTTTCTCGGGGCTGCTTTATTATACCCCAAAAGTCATCCATGAATTATCGCAATCTTTTTGTTCCACGTTTGTCTGAATGGAACACCACCTGTAGCTCTTCTAGAGTTACTGCCAGTCCCAAGCCCAGGTATAGGAGGGTTGGGCATGGGGTCGGGAACCTCATCCCGTAGAAAAAACCTTTCTAAAAAAACGTCAACCAGATTAAACAAATTAGACCATTTAAACTCTGCTCTGGGAGTTGAAGGAAGAATTATGACGCCTCAGGATGAAAGCCGAAATTCTTCGGAAGTCACTGGGCCGATGAGCTTTCTAACAACAACAACTTTTATAGGTACATGGAACGTCTGGACAATGTGGGAGACTGGTACGATCAACCAAATAGCAACGGGAATAATAGGATACAACTTGATGGTGCTCGGAATCAACGAAACCCACTGGACCCAAGTTGGACAGAAAAGGATAGATTCAGGAGAGATGCTGCTATACTCTAGTCACGAAGAAGAAAATGTTCCACATACTTAGGGAGTTCCCCTGATGCTGTCCAAAGAAGCACGAAATGTACTTATTAGGTGGGAATCTCATGGACTCAGGATCATCAAAACATCCTTTAAAACAAGGAATGGAATCACAATGAATGATTTCCAATATTATGCACCCACCAGTGATAACAATGACGACCACAAATATCAGTTCTATGAGAGGCCGTAATCAGCCATAGAGAAGTGCCCAGGAAGATCTGACCATCGTGATGGAAGACGTAAACGCCAAATTCAGAATGGACAACACCGGATATCAATATATCATGGACTGACGAAAAGAAACGAAAATGGTGAGAGATTTGCAAATCTATGTGCATTCAACAAATTGGTTATAGGCGGCACAATATTCCCCCACAAACGCACACATAAAGCTACATGGATCTCACCGGAGCACATCGCGGAGAATAAGATAGATCGTATTTATATCGGTAAAAAATTCACTAGGTCAACGAAAGACGTGAGAACCAGGAGAGGAGCTGACACAGCTTTAGATCACCACCTGGTGGTTGACAAGATGAAACTGAAGCTAAAGAAACACTGAACAACTTGACAAACAGCATTACAAACGTTCAATACAGCCTTCCTCCGACATACTGACAAACTCAATGAATTCAAGATAGCTCTTAACAACAGGTTACAAGCCTTACGAAATCTACACAAGGAAGTAGAAACTACTATGGAAGACAGCTGGAAATAAATTAAAGAAACACTGACTTCAATGTGTCAGGTATTGGGCCGTAAGAAGTATCATCATAAGGAATGGACCTCGATCGAAACCCTGAACAAAATTCAAGAAAGAAAGGACAAGAAGATAGCGATTAACGACAGCCGAACAAGAACAGTGAAGGGTCAAGGCACAAGCTGAATACACTGAAGCAAAAAAGCAAGTGAAGAGGAGCATTAGAGCTGACGAGCAGAAATATGTGGAAGACCTAGAAACGATAGCGGAAGAAGTCACAAGAGAAGGAAATATGAGACAGTTATATGACACAACAAAGAAACTAACAGGGGAATATGGTAAACCAGAGAGACCGGCCAATGATAAAGAAGGAAAGACAATCACAGAGATTCAAGGACAGAGTAAAAGATGGGCGGAACACCCTGAGAAACTCTTTAATAGACCAGCTCCATTGAATTCACTGGACATCAAAGCAGCACCTACAAACCTTCCTATGGATGTCACTCCACCAACGATCGGAGAAATCAGGATGTCCATCAGAAAAATCAAAAGAGGGAAAGCAGAAGGACATGACAATATACCATCTAAGGCACTAAAGTCAGAAATAAAATTAACTGCAAAAGTGTTCTATTCAGGAAGATTTGGGAGGAGGAACAAGCGCCACCGACAGACTGGGAAGGACACCTGATCAAGATACCAAAGAAAGATCTAAGAAAATGCAAGAACTATAGGAGAATCACACTACTATCGGTTTCAGGAAAAATTTTCAATCAAGTGCTGCTGAGCCGGATGAAAGACTCAGTATACGACGAACTTCGGGATCAACAGGTCATGCACAGACCAAATCGTGACACGACGGGTCGTGGTTGGACAATTGAATGGAACTCGTCATCATACATCAACTTCCTTGACTAAGGGAAAGCATTCGACAATGTGGATAGGAGGATCTTATGGAAACTTCTTCGACACTATGGTGTAACTGAGATCTTCGATATTATATGGAATTCATACGACGGACTACAGTGCAAAGTCGTGAATGGAGGACAGCTGACAGACGTATTGCAAGTAAGGACCAGAGTTAAACAAGAATGCCTACTCTCACCCTTTCTTTCTCTCTTAGTTGTCGACTGGATTATGAAGACCTCGACAACGGAGGGGAAACATGGAATACAATGGATAGCTCGGAATCAACTAGAAGATTTGGTCTTCATGGATGACCTGGCCCTTCTATCCCATACACATCAACAGGTGCAGGTGAAGATAATCAATGTAGCAGAAACCTCTGCATTACTAGGCCTCAACATACACAAGGTAAAAAGCAAGACCCTCCAATACAATACTGAGGACACCAACCCAATCACACTTGATGGAGAAGCTCTAGAAGATGTGGAATCTTTCACGTATCTGCATAACATCATCGATGAATGAGGAGGATCTGATGCAGATGTAAAGGCGAGGATTGACAAAGCAAGGACCGCACCCCTAAAGTTAAACATGTGAGACTTGAAACAACTGTCAACCAATATCGAACTCACAATCTTCAATACAAACGTCGGCAGTTCTACTGTACTGAGCTGAAACTCCGAGAACTACCGCAACCACCATCAAAAAGGTACAAGTATTTATAAAAAATTGTCTATGCAATACACTCAACGTCCGTCGGCAGGGGACCATCAGCAACAGCCTACTATGGGAGAGAACAAATCAGCTTCCGGCTGAAGAGATTAGGAAAATATGTTGGAAGTGGGCGGGATATACATTTGGAAAATCATCAAACCGCATTACAAAGCAGGCGCCAACTTGGAACCATGAAGGTAAACGGTAAAGAGGAAGGCCAAAAAATATACTCCATTGGGAATCGGAAGCTGACATCAAAAAGATGAATAGCAACTGGGGAGGATTGCCCAGGACAGAGTTGGATGTAGAATGCTGGTGGGCGACCCATGCTCTTCCACGAGAGGTAACAGATGTAAATTGTCTGAATGAACAAAACTCAGGCAATTCATAGTTAATTACGCCTTGGTGTTACGCATTTGCCTATGATATCGCTAATATGTTATTCCTTATAAATTATATAGCTCTATATCTTTCCACATTTGTGATTGGTTGTTCATAATAAGCTCCGTAACACACTATGAAACGAAACTATAAACTTCGTCATCTTAATGCCTCATCAGAGGCATTTTCATTGTGATATATTTAAGAAAACCAATATGGCATGCCTTTCCGACCCTTTAAGCAAATTTTCTAATCTAGTTTTTTTTGTCATAGTGAAGAAAAGTTAAAAGCATGTCTCGATACATTTGTATAAACTGTCAATAGGCTGTTTCGTCTACTTTTCTGTCTGGCCATTTGCATCTGGGTAAAGCTAATCCATTTGCTTACTATTGAGGCGTGATAACACGTTCCACAATTTTACATCAATCAAAGTGCACAAAAAGCGATAACTTGTACACCAGTGGTGCTTATACGCTCGCCAAGTGTGTTAATATCCGAATTCGCCCTAAAAAAAGTTTGTTAACACCAGTCTATAAGATAAACCTACAGTAAATTCATTCATCTAGATACCTGCTTATTAATTATAGATTGTACCTGTATACAATAACAAAAGAGTAACTCATTTACTGATCGTAGCCTTATGTACTCAACATTGAACAAGACTTTTAATATGAGAGCTCACCACATTACGCGGCTACCAACAACGACGTGATGAGCTCGTGGATTCCTAAGAGTTAAGTTCTTTGATCACTAACCTAATATTTCTCATACACAGGCGTGTGACTAAGTGTCAAGTATATAAACCCATATTAGGCATATCATTATTTTTTATCGAAACTTCTAAGTCGCGGATATCCTGCCTATTATATTATAAATAAGTTCAATATTTCCAATAAATTAGATACGAGTCATCGAAAAAAATCGGCACTAACTGACAATAAGTGTTATAATCTCAAACCATTTAATAGGAATGACGCATCTGAAAGTCCACCATCGGAACTGCATTATAATAGTTTTTCTATTTGATAGTTGTTTGGTAATGAAGGACTGAAAGCACCTAAAACTGATTTTAGTGATATTTCTGTTGTGTCAGTTTTTGAAATTTCCAAGTAATTCAAAATTAGGATTCTATCATGGTTTTTGCTTTGTTAACAAAGAGGAATACTACGCGTTGTGCTGTTAATAAACTTGATTATCTGTTCGCCATATATTCATATTTACTCATGATACCTTTGAAAACTGGCAGTTTTGGATATAAATTCATCTTATCATGACGGTCTGCACTCTATCTGTTTACCCAGACATATATTAATTAAAGTTTCACAGACTATCGGCTATTCAAATATGATATTTATTAGATGAAAAACATCACTGAGTGGTTCTCCAGATTTTACTGCTATTTGGTATGTTCTGTAACCGATTCTTGGAAATCATATGTAAACTATTAAGTGGAAATCTTGCTTAGATCGGTAAAATTAAGTACCGTGAAACAAATGACGCTGGACTTGAGGGGAATAATGTTATTGAAAATAATTTGTTTTAACATTTTCCCATTTTATTTAATTCTGCAACATTCCGAAGGTTTACAACAGTTTTCCTGACAGAGGTACATATACTTGTGACAGTTAAACACTGTAATATCGAATTACGTGTACACCACTCCACCTTAATTGAACTATTTACACTTTGGTTATCTAAATATCACAAATATCTTACGACACACTTCAACAAGTGAAGCAGAACTCGTATGAACAAATATATACACTCAATATGACAGATATCGTATATCAATATTCGGGGAACATTGAGAAAAACGAGATCACCGCTTACCGGTAGATCACACTGTTACACATCATAAGATACAGTGTAAAGGATGCCAGGTCTTTAGCTGTCACTTATCTTAACAGTTACTGGACATATTTCCCAGCTAAGGTTTTCGACAGGTAACACTACTCAACAAACGATAATAATTAGTATTACGGCCGGTTGATATGTAGATTATTCAGCTACCTATCCGTAACAGATTCATCAAGAAAGATTTTAACCACCGGTTTAGTTTCTTACAAATTTACCCTTCTGTTTTATCTGAACAAAGCGAGTATGATATTGCGTATAAACAAATTATTATTCAAACCGTCTTTAGAAAATCAATAAAATCTAGTGATGAGGCCAGCATAATCCACCTCGACAGAATGGCAGAAAAATATCTCAGCCCTTTTCTACAGGGAGTAACATATAACGCAAAAATAACTAAACAGGAAGACTTTTAGAAATTCCTTTTACTGTCCACAAACTACCACGTAATAGAGTTTTTAAGCCAATTCTACCTCCAGGTACAGTGGCAATAATTTGCCATACAACTAAACAAATTTGGGAGATCAGAGCCAAAGCTGAAAATATAGCACTCTGCCAAACAACCACAGCATATAAACCACCAAATAAGCTGACTAAATAACTTAGAGTAAAAAACAGTCGCTCAGTGCTAAATAAGCTTTTAATGTGATTGCACGGGCCCAAGAGAAATGAAAAACTTCCAATTAATAAAATACTACCAAGTGTGTGCAACAGTACGTATTTACGCATACCAAAAGGTGTTGCAATAACTGGCAAAAAAACCATCGCCAAACAGAGACATAAAGACGCTGAAAGAAGACACAAGAAAAACCCCATAAGACGCTGCTGTCGAGACATGCCTTTAGGCATTAAAGGGTCAGCATCAGCTTGATAAAACCAAGACGTAAGACGACCTTGTGTCTCGATTTCAGCGGTAGTTATGAATTCCTTAGTAGAGTTCTGTGATCCGTCGGTATTACTTGACTTCAAAAAACTGAGTAATGGTTCAGGTAATAAAGCAGAATCTTCTGAAGAATTTTGTGGATTTGCTATTTTGGAATACAACGCAGAGTAAATACGATTGGACATTTGATATGAAACCACCTTAGGTCAGATCCGGAAACGTAAATTACTGCAACAAGTATAGTAAAATACAATTAGAAAAACAAGTAATATTATGAAAGATTGATAACACTATAAAAGTAACTTTCAATAGTAATTAGAATCAAAACAACAACACCATATTTTGTCCTATCAGATTCATTTTTCAAGAACAACTCTAAAGTAAAAAACATTTACATAGAAAAACCAAAGCAAACACTAGAATAGAAAATTATTGTAACCAGACGCTAAACGTGTCGGATTTTCGCTTAAGATCCATCGAATCGAAAATGCCACCTGCTATTTTGATTGTATTTCTCATCTTGGCCTTTTAACACTGTTTCTGGCTAGAAATATAGTGTTTAATACGCTACAAAATCATGACGGTTAACTGTTATGCATCGCATTAAACAACTGATTAGGCAATTAGGAAAATAAACCATATCAATAAATAAGTAAATAAAAAGATGGATAATTCACAACAATGTCGAAATATAGGGGGAATGTGTAGCAACTACTTTTGGAAATGAATCAATCTCATGAATATGTATGCCACACAATAAGTGACTGAATAGTTGGAATTGACGATCTGGTGTGGGTTGGCAGTCAGCTTTGATAAGTCAGTAACTTAGAACTTTTATATCTAGGCATTAAGTTTCCTACCAAACATGTCAGACAAAGAGGCAGACATCTTGGAGCACTTCTCGTTTATACACACAAAACTCGCTCAAGGAATGTCGCCATTTCCCCTTTCAGTTCACCTATATGTAATTAATAATACATGAATTAACTCAATGAGTCAGATGTTCGAATTACCCTCAATGTAAATATTTTTTGGTTTTATAAATCTTTAAACACACATCAAACTTCGCACTTGTATCGAGTAGGCTGAAACCAACTAGATGCAGCAGGCAACCGCTGTTATACACGAGTATCTTGTTTAGGCTAAGAAGCTTTCTTCATATATGTACGTAAACCTCGCACTAACTTTTTTAATCATGATTGAAGACAACTTTTCTGTCATTTACGATGTTTACGTTTCACTGTTCTCCCTATATAAACATTATTGACAGCCGTTTATGTAGAAATTATCAGCAAGTTTTTACCATTTACATTACTGATTTAATAATAGTCGAGTGTGTTTTGATATATATATATATATAATTGTATATAATTTGATTAACCTGGACGATTGAATGTGGACTCCCTAAATATACAGTATACAAGTGCTTTAAATTTGGCGCAAGGCCAACTATTCCTACTGTTTGTAATGCCGCAAAGTAGACAATATGGTGTGAATTTTTTGGGAAAAGTAGACATTCCGAAGCAGGTAGAAGTTATAGTTTCGAGATTGTTCCCCTCGATGGGGAAATTCGAGGTTAAATACTCACCATTTACCCAGAGTTGAAGAAAAACGAAGACATTCCGACGTACTTTGTTCACATTTACACTGACTTCTGTAGATTTTCCTACGGTTCCACAAAAGTTCGCCTTTACCTCCCCTTAAGGGGAGAAAAAAGTTTTGCTTGGGGAAGATTCATTCTCATTAGGCACTTTAGTTCCCCCTAATGGTTCATTCTTATCCCTTTGGCTTACAGCGCTACATGTATACGCATGTACGTTCGCTTATGAAGACATAAGGAATACTATTTTGATACACATTACAACAGTTGAACGAAAACCCACCAACAACCTTGGACAACGCCAGAAATGACCTTGACTTGTATATCGCACATCGGCCAAAGTTGAAGTAGATCAAGTGGCTACTAAATGATAAAAACTTCTGTTTTATAGCTGTCCGTTGCTATCATTAGTTAATTGTCAAGGCCTACACGTGCATACTATGAGTTAATATGTCTTTTTGGTTGAAAATATTGAGATATTAAGGAAACTAAATCTAATGTCTTACAGTAATATAAGTTGGTCCAAGTATAGTAATCTAGTTTTAGCAGTTAAAGGCATTTCTTCTGGTTCATAGTTATGAACCTTACATGAATATTACATCGGATACTAGACACTCAGGCGTTTTAGAAGTCATTCAAAATGGAACACTGTCAAAAAGTCTGCTATCGATCTTCCTGCTCTGCAACCAAAATGTAAGTATGATACAGCCAGCCCTATGTTAGATAAATGGAAAACTTCTGTCCACAAGTGAAATTACTCGTAAGTAACCATCAAAACTGAACAATGAATATTACTGTTCAACCTTTTCATTTTACACTAGTTGACGTATGTATGATATCCTGCGCCAATACTAACAGCATTTTCGGTTTCATTTGCATTTTAAAGAAAGACGTGAATACATGAGAGTATCAGAGTAGTACATCTCATGTCTATTTGTCGTACTGGCAGCCTCTATCTGCCTGAGCACAGCTCAGAAAAAAAGTGTACTTACAGGAAGTATATCCAATAACGTCAGCTAATGTATCCAATATCCACTTCACGTCGCCGATAAACTCTTTCCTCGTCCAGCCACAGTGCAAAACAACCACATTCGCAATTTTTGACAATAACTGCCAAGAAAGAAGAATTTCCATAAATAACTTCCTTACTTCTCTTAACACCAAACTGACTGACGACTTGAATATGCCATACTGAGAGGGGTCATCCCACATATTGTCAAAGATTCTAGACTCCATAGTGTTGATGTCCTGACCACGATTTCCTAATGAAATACACCCTTCACGTACTCAACTACACTGTCCAACGTGAACGCGAAGTGAAATGTAGGAGCTAAGTTTCTTTTATTTTAAGCAGGTGATCCACTACTCAGCGGGTTGCATACTATGGAGTTTGCAGAAACATTTTTGAAGGCAGAATCTTGTACTCATCATCACATATATATACATAGTTGCACAGAAGTAAAAAATTTTAATGATTCGTTATAAGGCTGAGACGTTCTGGATTTATATAAATAAACAATATATTTGCAATATCCAAATGAGTATAAAAATTGGATTTTCTGACGCTTCGTGACTCAGTATAAGCCATTTCTTCAGAGAATAAATGACCAAATTAATATTGACCCACGTTCTGGATTTCTGTTAAAGCCAAACGTGCTTTTAAGAACAATGGACATATGCGTCCAACTTTCTGTATGATTTCCTTTACATGGTTGATAAGTGTGACTAGTGCACGTTATATTTGCTTATTATGTTTATGCTTCTCTCGTTTATCTGAAGTTATTCTAGCCGTGTTTGAATTCCTTTCAAATGAAAGTTTTTTGCATAACGATCACTTTTAAAAGAAATGGGTAGGTCGGTGAAATCCATATCGCGGCTAGTTGACCCACCGCTACTAGTCATAGATAAAAAAACATCGGAATGTAACTCAAAAATTTTATTCGGCTACAAAATGGAGTGACCCATCTGTAAAAATACTCCGCAAAACAGTCAGTGTCTGAGTGCATGTATACTGAAAAAGCAAAACAGCCTATAAATTCTCGAACCACCTAGAGATATTCAAATACGCTGTACTTGCCACTGACTTAGCTTCTCAAAACCTTGCAAACGGAGGCGAGATAATTTCAATCATGAGATGATTTCTACTTCATACCAGGCTGTTATGTAAAACTACCATGTGCTATTGAAACTACTTGAAACATACCGTTACCACTTGTACATTCTTGTACATTACCTATAATTTTTAATGTTCCCAACTCTTCATTTCTGAGAATTCGTGTAGATGGTTGAAACAAACTGAATTTGTAAGCATTTTTGTCGTTATTTGTAGATCTTCATGAATTTACCCAACTTATACGGACTTTTATCGTCTAAATGATTTTAGATCAGAAGGGGTTTTGTGGAGAATTTGGTATTTTCATAGTTGAAATCATGGGTCAATTGAAGCTAGACCACCATCTAAAACCTGGAAGCATTGGACGGCCGTTTCATCCTATTATGGGACTTCTCAACAGTGCGCATCCAGCAATCCCATTACGGATTTTTTTTAGCTCACAGCATATGTCACATTCCCTGTCAATCATATACAAATGCTTTGAATCTATACCTGACACTCGGGATGAATTGTCGTAATTGCGGACATATATTTGGACCTGTGAACACTCACACTTTTGACGACGACAACAAGTAACCCAGATATGTTGTATACATTTTTCTGTAAATGCTGTCAACTCATTCTTTATATACGTCCTGTAGTAATAACTAAGTCAAGGTATTTCTGTATTTTTATTAGTCCCCCACAGAGTTTGCTGTGTGGTGAAAATTACCAAAGACAGTAAGTAAAACATCTTATAAATCTTTCGATGTCGTTACGAATACGGTTGCCAGTAAGCATTCAAAATCTATCAGACGACTGAAAACGTTTCGCTGCATATAAATTATTTACATATCTCTGTTTTTTCTTCTGCCAAAAAAAATTCCAGTACAAAAGGATTCATGAATGTAAGCAGAAACCCAAGAGCTATTGTTAATAGCGTTCGATAATACTCGATCAATCAATAATATTTGGCTCATATCCCCACTACTGCGAGCCCACTTACCATGATCAGTTTTTGTTTAACTTCCAATCATGAAAACGCACCAATTTCACATAATGTGATAACCAAAAGAAATCGAATTCGGTATGTTAACTAGTGATGCCCAATGTGAAGTGTGACTGATAAATGAACCCACCAGTGATAACATGAAACACTCGCCAACACACTAACTCCCTTTGACCTTGCATCACTATGTTTTGCCCATTCGCCAATCCCAATTTTAGGTTTATCATGAAAAAATATTCAAGGTTGTTGACTCATTTTTCCTATTCCCTTTTATAGTATACCTTGTATGCTAACAATTTTGATTCGCGTTTTAGAAACCGACCAAGTTCATCGAGCCAAATACCTTACTTGTTCTGAATTTGGCTAAGCTAAAACACTTTGTTCGATAGTCTTGAGGACAGCTTAGAATTGAATCTGTGAGAAATTACTTCCTACACCGAGAGCCGTTCAGCTCGTATTCTAGTAGCCACATATGGACCAATGCTCAAGTGGGAGAGACCTCTATGAGTATATTTGGATCACCAGGTCACAAAAACATCACATATAAATATGAACAACTATTTCTTTGACCCATCCTTGTTCTATTGTTGAGGCTAATCAATTGCCATCATCTCAATTCTTAAGACTGGTCAGAACCTCCTGAAGCCTTCAGCTGCCATCCTTCTTGCGGAGATTTCCCGAAAACTGCGAATCACTATCAGGAAGAACTATTTCCAGAGGTACCCACTGCAAAAGGTCATTTATATAAATCAAAGGCAGGGAACATCATAATCCTGGACCATATTAGGACGTTTAATATCCTGAAAATATTATTACCATACTCTCACTGACCAAACGTTAAAATAAAATTCAAACTAATTGGTTATATGGAGCCGAAGAACTGCGTGCTTGAACCTGAAGATTAGCACGCTCTAACTGACCCGATCAAACACTCCCCAAAATGTTCGTTATACTGGGCGGAGTATAAATTTACTAGAGACAATGGAACATAATGCGATCTCAAAGTATGACTGAGTTAAACCCTATGATGATTGTGGGTTGTAAGAACCCTTTTTTAAGTCATCGAATGGTCGCAAATAATGCAGTGTTGGGTAATAATTCTCAGTGAGTATTTTTATCAGGCTGTGGGCAAGCATTCCACCTTATCTGTTCAAGGTCGCACCCAAACGTTTAGAACTTCTATCCCAGTGATTGGTGGAGCAACTTCATTCTGTTTGACAGACAAAACAGAACCGTATCATGGAATGATCAACCTGCTTAAAGGATGAATAAATGAGTCTGCTGACCAACCCTTACTGCTGAGTAGACTTGGGTAGCCACTCTATAAGTGGTTGATACTTCATGCTAAGAACTGATGGAATTTGTGGCGGATTTTTTCTTAAAGCCATACGTGACCTTGTGGGAAACTCAGTGACATACGACCTTCCGGTTGAGTACTCCTTTGTCCCTCAACGATTATGTGAATTTGAAAACTCTTTGTTGAAACAGACCCAAGATCCAAAATAATGTGGCATTTTACGCAGTATGTAAATTTTTCGAGGGTTAATATCGGCTTTGCAGTCCGAATGAACAGGAAGTTTCTCAGAACCAACCTACATGATTTGGTGTAGTTGGATTTCCTTCTAGATGCTTCATAAGGCTAGACAGTTATTAGACGTCTCCACAAAGCACATAATATACTTACATAGAACCAGGTAAAGATCGATAAAATTTCATCATCAGATCATGTGATAAACTGTTTCCGGTGGTTAGGCATACAGAACGCTAAACCCTCAGCCATCACACAACGTAATAAGATTGAGAGCAGTTAAGATGCATATGATTAACAATTCAAAGTATTAAATATAGCTAGATATTATCAGACAGTTGCAGTATGCAGTCACCAGATATTTATGGATTGAGAACCTGTTGTTTTCAAATGAACTAATAATTCCTTTGTAATTGATGGCTGCTTGATTTCGAATTCCAAATACGAAACATTCGTTCGTGTTCATCTAGTACTTCTTGATCAAATGGCGTTATTTCTGGGATTTCTAGTTTATGCTGTAATTCAAATACTCGTAATTATCACATTTGCATCACGATGGAGCCTGCAATGGAACAGTTGGACATTCATTCATCTTCTGAAGCTTTAGAAGATCATTTTGAAAGGTTTGAAATATGGGGCATGACCAAAAAGAATGTGAAGGGTGATAAAATTGTGGCACGTTTTCTGACATTCATCGGTGAAGAAGCCCACAGTTTAC